AGGCCAAAGCAATCGCCTTTCACAGCGCACAGCTCTATTATTAACCTATTATGGGCTCATACTCGTCTCTGCGGACTGAGGAACCCCGCTCCCGCTGCTCCCTCACCTGCTTTCCTTAGAAGGGTGACCTCAGCCTGTTGTGGAATTCTGCTTGTGCAAACCAGTGGCATTACCACGACCAGTGTAGCCCCCCCCACCACACGCACTCTCGTACCAAGAGAAAACAGCCCCGTAGGTCCCTGGTGGCCGCCTTGGGGCTCCGTGGCCCCTTTGATCGCCTCTGTACGGCGGTGACTAAGAAGGTTGGAATGCCAGCCTAATTACACGGCCACTCACAGGGACGGCCATTCCCTCAGCGAGTCGGCGAGCCCCACCCGGAGCTCAGACCTGCCCCGGAGCACGTACACACACACACACACACACACACACATACACATACACACACACAGGGAACATGGGCTCACCATCACCCCCACCCCCAACTTCACCTCCATGATTAACAAGAGAACAGCACAGATTCACGATTAAATCACAGCTATATAAAGGAGCAGATTTTTCACAAAACTTCTGGAAACGTTCAATTAGTTCTGATATGGTTCTTGTCATCTGTCAGCAATTACAGCGTGAACATATCCTTCCCCGGACGGCATCGGCAGGAACCTGCGAGCAGAGCTGAAGCCTCGGGACACGACAGAGCAAACCGGTCCCTCAGTTATGGGTATCACAACAATGTCGGCAACAGGGGCACAGACTGGTGAGCATGAAACACAGACAAGACCCTCAACATGAGAACCTGTGCCAGGAGCCACTGGGGGGCATACCAGTTAAGGTACAGCCAGTGATGGGGACACACAGGGCAGTGAGAACTAGAGACTGGCAGAGTAACTATAGAGAGGTAGCGCAAGGCCCTGGGCCACTCTGACGGGAAGCTATCGCATACACCCTCAAAGAAACATCTGTGCTCCAGAAAAACAAGGCAATTATGGGGGGGGTGGTGGGGGGGGCTATAGTATTTGCCCTGCAGAGCGAGACGGGCCGCCTGCCGCAACACCATCCCATAGACGAATCCTGGTGGAACGGGGGGGGGGGGGGGCGGCAAAGCGATGGTGGCCCGCAATCTGGACTGCACACTGCCCCGCCTGCTGGGGGCACCGAGGACCAAAAGCGCAAGCCCCCCCCAGCCAAGAGGGGATATGGCACAAGTTGCTGAGCAGCCTGTTGGGGGCTTTGAACGCTCCGCTACCTTTTGATAGCCCCATAGAGTCCCATATCTATAAAAAGCTCATTTTAATTAACTAACAGCAGAAGGTCCCGGCAGCAAACAAAGCACGTTACACAGAAATAAATTTTCCAGATGTGCACCCCCCCCACACTGTCAATTTAAGCACATCTTTTTGTTTAACATGAATATTATTATCCATCCATGCATCCATTCACCCACACACTTATCCTGAGTCAGGGGGAAGGTTCGTAACCTGATGGATTGGATGTCAGTTCAAATAAATAACAAAAAATTAAATAAACGAAATGAATGAAGTCAAAACATAAGAGCACTGTATTTTGGCTAGGACTGCACAATATGTCGTTTCCGCATCGTCATCACAACGTGTGCATACGCAATAATCACTGCGCAGGATAGGTAAGGTCAAGTACGACAAATTAATTCAGACACATCATGCTACAATTCTTCTGCTGCTTGACATAAACTCGCAAGGTTCTCATTTTCCACGACTAATCTACAAGAGAAGTCTGTCTGATATAATTTACTCTGATTTAAAGGTTTTTGGATACACAGAGTCTGTTGCTAGCGACTGACATGCAGACTCTGAATGCGCAGCGAACCACCAAATCAGAAATATGGCAGGGCAACCTGTGATATTAACATCACGTTTCTACTATTATTGTTATTTTTTAAATTAGGAGATCAGGGATCATTGCTGACACACCACAGCACACAGTGCACAACAATGAAATGTGTCCTCTGCATTTCACCCATATGTGACGTCGTGACATAGCAGGACGCAGCTAAGTCAGCACCCGGGGAGCAGGGCTTGGGGGCGGTACCTCGGTGGTCGGGGATTCGAACCAGCAATCTTTCAATTACACCGTTTTCCCTCAGCCTTCAGCTGCGCTTTCTCCGGAGTGTGTGGTATGCCGGTGACTCTTTCCACCGACGGATTTTTGCTTTTCTCACTTTTTTTTAGGGCGTTATCTCACGGTGGTGTGCTTGTTATGTTCTATATAAATGCTTGATCGGGTTGGTACTTCATTGTCCTTCATTTAAAATTTCTTCACAAAAAATATATTGATGTCGCATGTTTTGCGCATGCAATTTTCACACTGCAAGGAACACGATAATCAGCTGGGTTGAAATCAGGCTTTTTCATAGCTTCATATTGCCTGGATATTGTTCCACACTCTTTTTCAATGCAGCTCCTGTATTTTAAAGTCTTGGTGATAAGATTTGCTGGGGGGGGATGTTTCCCTAAAGCATTTTTACTCTGTCATAGGAAACTAAACTTAGTAAGCCTTGCAATTTTAATGATGTTCTTTTTCTAGATTATCTAGTATTTGTAAAAATAAAAAAAAATGTAAAAGTTTAAAAATAGTTTTGCATGAGGTCTGCATGCCTTCTCTAAGGCCACCATAATCATTTTCATTATTCCTGTTCAAATCACTCAGACGGGTTTGTGAGAAATTTATTTTGAACTCCATTTTTGCTTTATGAAAATGGAAATATTTATCACAAAAAATATATACATCACTTTACAATATCTGACATATTCCAGTACCATGTAGCCCTCATTTCCGCTGCCCACACAAACAGACAGTGCATGTGAGGCTCTCTAGAGCGTCTCTGTGCCCCCCAGGCTCTCTGGCAGTGCATGTGAGGCTCTCTAGAGCGTCTCCGTGCCCCCCAGGCTTGCTGGAAGCAGAGGCCAATGGAGGTGGACCTAGTGGCCTCACAGTCTTCTGCCTGCCTTGTATTTCTGCTTGATCCCATTACCTAAAGGCCTCCAGTGCCAAACAATGGCCTCTGCCTTCTCCAAAAGAACCATGCCTTCTGATATGACCATTGACCAGTAACGTCTCTTTACCAGTATAGCCCCACCTACAGATTACCTTAGGGTGTGGCCTAACAGCTAAGCTATAGTAGCAGGTTAACAGTGACAATGAACTGGCAGTGCTTCACTGATCCAACCTCCTTCATTATTGACTATTATCATGGCATGTGACCAAAATAAATTCAGCTTATAAAATGTAATTAGCTTTTATAATGAAGCAGTTACAAAGTAAATACTCAAAGCCTTCTAGAATGTCGGCATGTCATGATTTCAATACACAAAAGGATAGCAGCCCACACAGCCTACGAACAAACAGTAGATGTACTGTTGAATCAGGAGAAGTATACAGAATCCTAGTCGGTAACAAGAACCCAGGTCCCTGTGGAATCCACAGATCCACCATCCAGCTGGTGCATCCCAACATGGTCATGGAACCAACCCCAGGCAGTATAAAGGAACAGGCGGGGGTATACCCAGAACTTACGGGGTGGCGGGCCACTGAAGGGCACTAGCTCCTCTCACACTCTCAGCAATTACAAGATGCCAATTAGTTTAAAAAAAAAAACAAGAGAATCCAGAGAAAACCCACTGGGAGACACAGAGAATATGCACGCTGCACACACAGGAGCTCAAAGGAGCAGAACCCCCCAACAATGGAGGCAGGAGGGAAGTATTCCACAGCCCAAGGAAAAGGTATCAATAACAAAAACAAGTGATTTATGTTTTCACTGAGTCAGAAGACAGAAAAACTGGAAACACGGCAGAGATACACAGAAGCTGTTCTCCGACAGGCGCCCATTTACCTACTCGACCCCAAAACCCTGCAGCTTGGAGTCGTCGCCCTTGCCCGGCTCTCGTTAAAAGCAGGAAAGGTAAACACGGCAAAATAGCTAAATTACTGGAGCGACGATACGCCCATCCTTAGGGAAAGCAAACAAAAACAAATCTCACCTCCTGCAGAGCGCCAACAGACCGAAATAAATATTGTCAGAGGAGCTGGCCCAACCTGCCCACTACCCACAAGTCCTGTGAGCCATTTGAGAGTAAAGCTGACAGAGGCAGATTGAGGACAAGGGAGGCGGGGCAAAGCTGGGACAGTATGGCCCTACAAGCAGAAAGGGCCAGGATAAAGCTGGCACAGGCGGGGCAAAATATGAGCCTATAAGGACAAGGGGAGGAGCAGTGAAGAGAGGCGGGGCAAATATGAGCCTATAAGGACAAGGGGAGGAGCAATGCAGAGAGGCGGGGCAAATATGAGCCTATAAGGACAAGGGGAGGAGCAATGC